GTGCAAAACAGCACGAAGGAGGAATCTAATTAACTATAGAATGAATCAACTACTGATAAATTAAAAAAAAAAAAACTATGGAATAAATGACTGCAAAACAGCGCGAAGGAGGAATCTAATTAACTATAGAATGAATCAACTACTGATAAATTAAAAAAAAAAAAACTATGGAATAAATGACTGCATTGGACAAATTGATACGTCGTCGTTTGCTCCTGGAAGCTTCTGTCCTTGCTCAGTTCTTGGAGCTCTGAATTCCCCTAGTAAGAAGAAGATCACCGCCACCATCTTCTTCAACAGTTCAACCTAACACCATTCAAAATCAAACCCAACCCCAACCACCTCTTTCTTAAATCCTTACACATCCCAACCCATTTTCTGATTTCAAATCTGACCAAGAAAAAGCTTCATCTCATCAATGGAATCGCCTCTATCCATTCCAAATCTTCCCCTGTTTTTCTCCATGTACTTTCTCATCTATCTCGTTGCATATTTCATTGTGTTTCGTAATTGGAGCCCCAAGATCCGACCGGAGGCTTCCAGCTGCTCAATCTCAATATTTCATGGCACTCCGGCGGTTTTCTTGGCCCTTCACGCCATATTCTCCGACCCAAATCGTGGGTTTGCTTCCCCCAATACAAAGACTCAAGCTTTAGTTCTCGACTACAGCATTGCTTATTTCTTGATGGATCTCCTTCACTATATAGTGTTCTATCCTCGTGATGTCCTCTTCATTGGGCATCACTTGGCTACCCTCTTCGTCTTCCTCACATGTCGGCATGTGGTCTTCCATGGCGCCTTTTCCATTCTGTCTCTCTTGATTCTGGCTGAGGTCACCAGCGCTTGCCAGAACGCCTGGACGCTGGCCAGTGCAAGGAGGTACGACAATGAGTTCGCCGCAAAGCTGTATGACTTCTTGTCTCCTTATTTCTATGCGTTTTACATCGTGGCTAGGGGATTTTTGGGTCCCTATTTTGTCTACCAAATGGGTGCTTATTATGTGAATGGAGGGGCTGATACTTTGATTCCCAAGTGGCTTTGGATTTCTTGGTTGGTCGTGGTTTTAATGGCCATATCCGTTAGCATTTTGTGGGTTTCAAATTTGTGCCTTGTGTTGTACCAAGAGAGCAAGAGTAAACTAGAGAAGAAGATAACATAGTTGTTGTTTCTTGTCATTATATCAATGTATTTTATCTGGGGATGAAAGAAATATAATGGATGGGATTTTGTTCTCTTGCTATTGTGACAACAATTGAGGTTGAAAGTTAGAATAATGTGGTGATGATAATTGTGACAATGTGTATTAACATGACTCTGTAATTTTTTTTTTTTTGCTGAAATAACATTTCAGTTCTTTTAAAGTTAAATTTGTCCTCTTCTTGCTGGATTATATAAATGTATTTAGTCTGTTTTAATGAATTCTTTACATTTGTATGCACATTAGTAATCTCCTTTTAGGTTCCTATCGGAAAATAGAAAGTTATATTCTTTAAGCTAGTTAGAAGTGCTTGATATCAAGTGCTCTTTTAAAGTTATATTATATCCTTTTAGTTACTGTTCGAGATATTCTTTGAAACAGGAGAAGTGTATGTTTTAAATTTCCATAGTTATTTAGCTGACAGTAGACGTTCTTTGGAATCCTTTTGGTACAAGTGTATTCTTTCATCTGATATTTTCAATTTTAAGATATCTAATATTGAAGTCACATAATTTAGTATAGAACCTTCTAAAGAAAATGTGTGGAAGACAGGACTGTAAAACTGTAGACCTTCTACAATCTCAACCAAAACTGAAGAAATGAACCAAATCCAATTGTCAAATATGAGTGTTTGTTCGTGTAGCTTTGACTAGCTTTGTGGCTTCCTGCTATTTTTAATCTATGTTGGTTGATTAGTTAGTATCCAGGATTTCAAGTAAACCTTCCCTTTGTAAGGGCATTCACTCTATGATAACATTGTTCAGCAGCATCTAAGATACAAGACCCCATGACAGTTTCAGGTTAAGATCTCTAGCTTGGGGATTATTCAGTTGGGATTCCCTTTAGCTGCTGGTCTGTTATGTGTATGTGATTTAGTAAAAAGGTCACAGTATTCACTATCCAGATATAACCACAGGATCAGTTCGTTCTTGTTCACCCTTAAATCCTAATGGAGCTCTATTTGATTTTCCTTTTAAACACTGGTCTAGTCAAAGGTGCTGCAGACATGTAGCCCCAGGTATAACTTCTCCTCGTGGCGAACCATGGTCAGCTTCAACCCCCTGAGGCCTCCATTTGATTCCATTTTAGTAGTCATTCATGACCTCCAAGGTAACTGCAAGTTGCCCCTTTTGGGTTATCGTGCAAAGTCAATGCAATTTTCCTTTTTCCAATATTTGAGTCGTCTTCTTCTTTC